AGGAGTAGAAGGCGATCATTATGTGTTGAGCCCAAAAGTTTGCTCGCCGAGGCGTTAGCCGAGGCTGAGCAAATTGGGCAAAACACATAATGAGCCTTCCACTCCGAGTGACATATACTATTTTTTCTTCAAGCGTGAATATAAAAAATTACTAATTTTGAAAATTTATAGCGGATAACGCGATGTTCAATCTCAGCACAAAATAAAATCAGTAGGTAGGTAATACTATTTATTTTATACATTTTATACATTTTATTGATTAATTAAACATGACAGTTTTAACCACTTTATTCATGAATAAAAAAACAAATGTAACAATTATTTTTCTTTAATTTGAATTAAACGAATAAACATCTAAATTACCTACATGTCTATCATCAAACTTTATTTATTAACATGAATATTAAATGTGCAATTTTGTATGGTACAGTTGTTGATATTTAAAGCGCTGCTGGCTGTCTTTTTTTCAAAGTTTACAGTTCTGTCGTTGAATACGTTACTTGTAATAAGGTTCTCAGTTTCAGTGTTAACAATTGTACCATTATTAACAGAAAAGTCTTCGATTAAATTATTTTCAGGATCAATATTTACAGTTTCGCTTGATGTACTTGGTTCATTATACTCTAATGGGTTTAATATTTTCATCGCTNCAATTTCCAGTAATTCTGGTGGTGTGCACTGCATTTCTTCAGACATTTTAAAAACGACCCGACGCGACATCAAATTTCAACTGACACTTAATGAAACGTCAAAGCTTCTTGAATCTTTAATTCGTTGCTAGGATACTTACCTACACATTGTTACATTTTTTTACTAGTTAAAAAATGATAAATTTTTGTACTAGTTAAACAATAGGCTGCTTCTAAAGGAGGTGTTGCACTATATAATATAAGTATTATTATACGCTTGAAGAAAAAATTAATTATATTTAAAAATTGTCAATAATCCAATTTTTACAATTGTACCACAACATATTAAAAATGAACTTTTTGTTCAAATTACTTAATGCTGTGCAGCTGGAAAAAAGGAAAGGACGATTTTAACTGATATAATCGAGTAAAAAAGAAAAATTTTTTTTACAGCGTCGTCCAACATTGAATATACCTACCAAACGGAATACCTCCGGCGAACACACGTCTTATTAATTAAATCTGTAAGAAAATTAATTCTGCAATAAATAATCCTCCGCCTTGCAACAAGTTTTCTCCCAGGCAATTTAGAAAACGTTAATTACCAACGAAATTTATGAACCTCAACTGTTCATGCGTTATCCCAAAGCTGCTTATTTAACAAGTGAGTGACTCGAATTCGCTTGTTTAGAGAAACCGGCTCCAATAACGTTAAAATGTGTGTTTTATGATACGATTACTGTCCCCTTCCGTACGTCTACCTACTATACATACATGTAATAATGAGCAAAGATGCATAACGCGCATACGAATCAGCGATTACGAAATACTGCACGTAGTTTTGACAGCGTAATGGTTGAATGTTAAATACACTGTTACGGTTATGATATATACAGCACGGATGCATATCTTAAGCGGCGTGAAATATTTCTGTATGCGTATACGATGCATTTAAATGGGTTAGGTTTTATGTGCATGATAATGTATAACGTGCGGAAGATTACAAAGCACGTAAAATATGAGATGGAAAAGTCGTTGTGAAGTAAAACATAATTTAGCTTTGTTTAACCGTCTGTTGCAAGTTTTATTTTGATGATACTAATAATAACAAAGTAGTACCTACTCTGACGGTCATTGCAAAAGGCAACAAACTGTAAAACGATTTGCATAATGAGAAACGTTTTTTTTTTTATATTGTGTCGAAAACCAATATCATTAAGCAAATAAAGAAAATTGAAGTATTGTGAAAAAATTTATTTTCCTATAACAATAAAGCTACTATAAAATAATAAATACCTACACAACGTAAATAAATTTCAAGTTTTTCGATAGTTTGTCATGAATTTGTTTGATGAAACTTTGAATTATCAAAATAATGAAGATAAATGAAAAAAATAAATTCATAATTTCCTTTAATACAAATTAAGGTTTCTAAAATTTTCTATTACAAATTTGACAATATTAGACGAAAGTCAAGAATGCAACATTTGACTAAACACTTTGTGAAGCTGGAATGTGCTTGTGAACAAAAACGTGCCCCGCTTATTTCGTAAACACGGTCTTACTTGATAACAATACTCGAATCATTTTCAGAAATGCTAAATAAAAAAAATTAAATCTTGTAAAATTACCCAGAAAAAGTCTTTCATTTCAGCACATTCACCATTTTGCGTAAATCATAATGTCATTTCTCTCCTCAAAACGTTATCAGGTTCACATCCCTCTCTCGTTTTCATTCGATGGCGACAAGTCCATAACGAACCCTCGTAATTTCAATTAATGTCGCCTAGTATTTTAACAGGGCCATAGTAATTAGTCTTTTCTATAAAATAAAGCCATTACGGAGACCTATACATAACAGAAAAGCGTACAGTTCCTCCATGGCTGCTGTGTCGCCCTTATAACAGCGCGGCAATGACAAAACAAGGGTAAACAAGGGGGCGGTTAAAATAACGCGGCATGTGCTGACGAAACTGTTTCTATGAAAATGTAAACTTCACTGTTGTTTGTGGTAAAACTCGGTTTGGAATATAATATGTACACATCTACAAGTAGGCTTCTGCTTACACGTCGGAAAAAATATATCAAAATTAAAAAAAAAAATGTTTCATCTTGCGAAATAAAGCACGGCGAAAATAAATTAATTAGAAGTAAGTATATGTAAAAATAAAGTACTCCATACAATAAGAGTTAAACACTTTAAGCAACTTTTTGTTTTTCAATAATTAAGCTCCAATCTACATTCCGCTTTACTGTTAAAATTTCGCACCATTCCTTGTTCAAACAGATTTTAAAATTAGGTTAACGTCCAGATTTTACATCGTGTTTATGCTTTACGATCGCATTGCCATTTGCAAGTGCTCTATTCATATTCAAGTCGAATTTAATGGGGTGAGAGAATTAATCTTACAAAACTGCAGCTCTCGCGACATCTGATTGCCACACCATAAAGTAAAACACTTAAATACATACAATACATACCGAAAAGTTATGCTCCGTGATATTTAACATTTATTTCACTTTGAGTTGGGGATCTAATATTTGAAATTATTACTACTAGAAAACATTCATAATTGAACCTATGAGATGTATAAAAAAGTGGAAAGCTCGTTAAAATAAATCAAAGATCAAATAAAATTTCGACAAGTTTTAAAAAAAGATCTAGTTCTGGAAAAACTCATATTAAATAATAAAATAGACTTATAGGTATATGTGGACAAGCTCTGTGGCTTGCGTACACTTTAATAAACTTGCAGAATGTGTTTTGCACAAAGATTTCACGAAAACAATGGGCTTATGAATAATTTATAAACTGCAAATTCTATTCTCGGATAATCATTGGGCGGAAAATAGGCTCAATGTCAAAATAGCATCTCACAAAATATTACAAGGTATAAAATACGTCCTGATACTATAGGTATAAGACAAGACTTTGAAAAAAAAATAGTAACTGAAGATAATCCAATAATGTATTTTTTTTTAATAACTTTGTACTTAATATTTAATAGTATCTGTTTACGGCATTTATTAAGGTATTTGAATATTAAAAAATGTAGACGTATGTGGAGGTGTATCTTTTTAGTGGTAGCCGTATTAATACCTTAATAATCACGTACTTATCGTTACATAAATAATGCTGAATCTTTTCCGACTGTCAATCCAGTAGCCGTGTCGTACATAAAGCGGATACGCTAAATCTCTTGAGATAACCATTTGCAACTAAAACATGAGTACCTAAGATTTATGAATGCATATGAAATCGGGTACATGCGGTAATTACTTTATCCGTACATTGTGCAACCTAATTTAGAGATTTAGACGAAAATGGAAACAACTGGATATACCTAAATGAAAATTATTATTAAAAATATGTAAATGCACATTCTTTACATTGTTTCAATTTTATATTATATTTTTATTTCAGTATAGGTAGTATTGACTATCTTTCGGATATAGATATCTTGGACTGTGAGGACGAATATAATTTTTGTATCGTTATTATACGATATTGAATTTGCAACATGAAATAAATTAATTTCAATTCTATAATTTAGTAGACACCTATATCGGGCTCTACATTATGATCCCATTTTCATGCCACTTTTAAATATTTCAGTTTTTAAAGTTCCTTAAAAAATTCGCGTCCATAAAAGTAGCCCGAAGATGGGGTGTATGAGTGTATAATATGTATAGATCCCGAGAGTAGTAGTCAAAGAATAATAATTAAAAATAAGAATTGTGGGGATTTTGAGATTCCTTTTTGAAAACCAATAATAATGCGGTATGTGGTAGTTACGGTTTTATTTAAAGTGTAATACGTAATTATATAACAAGGCCCCATCCAGGCTTACGAGTTATTTAATATATCTTCATCTACGTCTACATCTAAAATATATTCATGTATTCCTTTAAATATAAATTCGCTTATTTTAGGAGTGTTCCTGAGTTGTTTTTAATTTGATTCTCGTCTATATGATGGATGTTTGATATGCAACATGCTATGCAATCAACCGGATGGGACATAATGTCGGTGTTTAATATCGGCTAGCTATAAATCTTCCAGGATTGTCAGTTTTATTAAACTCGAAAAAAGTAGATAGAAGATTTGATTGAAAACTGTTTACCCCTGACGGAACGAAATGAAATCGTACAGTTTCGTTGGAAAATTGGATTTAGTATTTAACTGAAGTAATTACGGAAAAGTGATGGATGGAAAAATAAATTTACATAATTATTGTTTTACATATGACTAGAGTCCTGTTTCTTGCTTATTATAAAAACACAACTGATTTAACTGTGCAGTGTGTAGGTCACAGGTTTCACGTCATTCTGTGTGATTAGGCATTCATTTTTTTTGTTTTTTTCATTCAGGTAAAGCGGTACCCTTCGTGGAGCTCACCGTAGCCCATGCTTCCGTTCTGACCATCCTCGCCATCAGCTTCGAACGCTACTACGCCATCTGCAAACCTCTGAAGGCCGGTTACATCTGCACGAAAGCTAGAGCGTCCCTTATTTGCCTTCTGGCCTGGTTTGTTGCCGCCGTTTTCACAAGGTAAGTCTAACTCCGAGCCATCGACTTCTTCTGAGTACCTTGTATGGCACGAAGGCGCATGGGCATGTTAGTGGGGTGGCGGCTAACATTTCGAAAAAGATTGCTGCAATTAAAGGTAATTTTCACACATGTGCAAATATTGAAGATAATCCTTCTTTTGTGTCTAATACGTAATCAAGTCACAACCTAGATTTTCTCGTCAAATAATGCGGAGAAAAGGAAACAATCTCGTTAAACGCCAATAATAAACTGATCCGGCAAATTTCCTTGCTCCAAAACACGGGCATTTAGATAAAATCTTATATGTCATAATGTTATACATAACAGTAAACTATAGCTTGAAATAAACATCATGATATAGAAGCCAGGTTATCGACCAGCTTGTTAAAATTATGGAAAAGACGGGGACAGGCTTCGTAACTTTCCATCTTTCATCACAGGTTTTCATCTCGATCGTTTTATTTCTTTCTCGTGGGTCAACCCATATATTTGATTCTCTTTAGTAGGAGAAAAGATATAAACGGGAGATATGGGATTGCCACTCTCTTCTGGCAATATAGATGCCGTCCAACTTACGTCGCAGCCTTATTATCGCAGAAGATATTGAATTTTATATATATTTTAAGTCGCAATATAAAACGAAACGTCTTTTATAACATATAACCGGAAGTGTTCTTCGTGGTTTTGTATTTTCACGTCCATAATCACTTAATAGATTTGCAATATTAATAAAAATATCCATATAAAATGTTATTATTTCACGAATATTTTTTCGGAATGCTACGCTGCCACCTACTGCTTACAAGCATGGTTTGTATGGCTGCTACATTTTCTTTTTGACAGCAAGATATACCTCTCTAACTAGGCCAGATGAACTTAGCCAACCACTTACAAAATGAGACTCATCGTTCTGTGATTATATACAATTGACTTATACGGCAGATCCTAGACAGATGCGGTTTTTCGCAAGCAATACCTACACAGAATGTCTACTATAAGAGGGCCACTCCTATGTATCTCGCTTATTATACGACACACGTCAAAAATCTTTATATGTTTTTTGTTGGATTTTTTGAGGCCTTGATGCTCGTAAAAACAAATTTGAGATCCATGGCCAACTTTGTGAATAATCATAAAAAACGGAAAAGTACCAAAAATTTAGGGTCGTCTAACTTTTTTATTTTAAGAGATAAAGAAAACTTATTTTCATAAATTTCATGGTAAAATGGATATCTTTCACCTAGTGTAAACAGATTTTTAAAATATCGTATGTAATTTGCTGCGCCCTCTACCCGTATCACAATACCCTGTATATTTGTAGACATGTGTGCAACAAAGGCAACGGCAACGACTTTGCGATTTATACAAAAATTTCCAACAAAGCTATTATTTTCCGTCTGGTTAGAGAGGGAGCCTTGCTTGCATCCACGCTAGAGCTTTACATCCTGATTTATAAGCTGCACATAACTGCTCCCAACTGTGCTTAGCTCCACCATGTACATACTAGAAGGTCTGTTCATATTCTATCTTTAAACTTCCTCATTATTATTCCTAGGTAGTTGGAGTTATTTATAAAAGTACACTTTTTATATGTAGCTGCCACCGGCTTCGATGGTACCAGACGCAACTACTTGATATAGACATAGAGTATACGAAGCAACGAAACTATGTTATGTTCTAAAATTAGTAGTTACAACTCGTATACGAAAATAATACTAATAATAATAATAATAATAATAACACAACTAATAATAATGATGATAAAAATAAATCTTATTAATGAAGTATACTGATTTATTTTTTATACAGTAATACCTACTTATAATTTCTAAAACTGCTGTATGAAACTTTTAAGACAACAACGGGAAGAAGCCTAAATAAAAAATTTTATATACTTATATAAAAAATAGTTCCTGCGAATTTTTTCCCCTTTTGAATGTCCAAATTATCGACGCCTATCCGCCATTCTAAAATATATTTGCATCTGTGCCCTGGGATATCCAAAATGTCAGGCTAATAAAATCAGGCTCAACTTACAAATTTTTCCAAGAACAAATATTATAATCTATTTTATTGGCAGGAAAAAGATTAATGGTATTTTTTGGGTATTATAATAGATTGCGGCTGATAAGCCACCATCACGAAACCGCAAAGTAGGAAATGTTCCTTATACTTGGACAGTATAGCAATACATTTTTTTTGTGATAAGTATGAATATTTAATTGTTGCTTGCCTTCACGTAAAATATTTTAAGAAAAATTAAATTATTTTACTTCGTAACTCTATTATAATTTTTATATCTGTTTTGGAGACAAAAAAAATTGTTTCAAACCAGAAAACACGATTCCAACGATTAATGGCGAGTAAAACCAATAAAAGCATTTTATAAACCTCCCTCTAGTACGTAGAAAGCATAACCGTCCATCAACCTCAAACAGCAAACAAGTATTGTCGATATTTTTTGTATAGCGTTACACTCTCACAGCACATCAACACCCACAGCCGATCTTTCCAACAGAGATTCTGTTGCCTACTCTTTTAATTGTTATGAGAACTAAATGTACCGTTGATTTAGACGTTACATCCTGAAGGAGTATTATATGTAATAACAGTATTTTGTGTAGTATAACGATAAAAAAGTTACTAAGAGAGATTCTTGCAATTTTTTTAAATTAATACAATAGGGTCAAGTGGGGTTAATGTAAACAGATTTGACAAGTTTAATTTTTTCCGTTTTGAATTACTCGGTAAAACTATGTAACGCTGTTTTTTTAAACAACGACTGTGTCAGTATGTTGATTGATGTTTATACTTCATGATACATTGAATAAAAAATTGAAATGTAAGAATTTTTCAAAAAAAAAACAAAAAAAAAAGTTATCAATGTTTACATTTACCCCAACACCTTAGGGGTAATTGTAAACATCTGGATAAGGAACCAACCAACATAACGCGATAATATAAGGGGCATTTGTAAACATTCCGCATTTTAAATTATTTTAGAAATTTCAGTGCTGTTAGGGTGATGTTTACATTTACCCCAAAATGAATATACACATAAAAACATTTGCATTATTTTATTTCAAAACAAAGCTTTAAATTCTAATATGTATAGAAACTTTTATAATAGTAATTTAATCGTAAAATTAATTTTCTAAAACAGGTACAGCCTTTTCAAAATGGTAATAAATTCTTTCTCCTTTCATTTTAATTGTTGGAATGGGCAGCACTCCTATTATTTGATCTTCTCCCACAAAACTTATGTCTCTTGACTGCACAGCAAAATTTTGCATTGTGTCATCTATATGCTTTAATCCTACCACTTCTACATCTTTATCTGCAACAGTTTCAACTGAACAAACATATTTGTACATTATAGTATTTCTTTTTCCCCCTTTAAACTGCACAAGTACAAAACTTCCATTTTTCAGTTTTGAAAGAGGTACTTTCGTTATTAAAATAGGGTCTTCTTCAACAGGATCATCTACGTCCCAAAGACTATCTTCCTCACTAAGAGATATATCTTCTTCACTCTCCTCACTTGAAGTGTCGTTATTTATATTTGGCTTCTTCTTTTTCCTCTTTTGAACATTTGCTACTTTTGTATCTTTTAGTTCTTGTAGATTTCTTTTAGATAGTTTTTCTTTTTCTTCCCTCTTTTTCTTTGATTGTGTCTGCTGATTCTTTTTCTCTTGTGCTTCTTTCAATCTTTTTAGGACCTGCTCTGTTGTTAAAACTTCCCCATACCGTAGTTGTTTCAACCTTGGAATAACAATTTTTTTTGATGGTGTGATGGTTACATTTTCTTTTTTTTTCGGGAGAAGAAAAAAATAATTTTTGTATTGATATTTCAGATGAGCTTGCATTCTGATTATTATTCACTTTCAAGTTATTTTGGCTCAACTCTTGTAAGATTTTTTCAGACGAACTATTAGATTCAGATTGAAATTCTGGTCTGGGTTCAATTTTCCTTAAACAGCTAGATGTGCATGTTTCAGCTGAGAGATGTTGGCATAATGGAGTGCTCTTTGTTCGAGTCAATGATGTATCCTGTTCAAGAGGTGGAATTACGTCTATAGGACTACACAGTGCTGGTGTATTATTTAATATCTCAGTAGGTTCTTTGTCCTGTTCAGGCATTGCCTTGTGATTTTTTTGTAAGTAGTCTTCTAACTCCTGTTTTTTGAAGGCACTTTGTGGAAATTTGTTTTTATCTACAGGAAAGATACCGCAACTTCTAAACCCTGATATTATGTTACCTGGTTTCATAGCATGTGTCCAAACTTCCCCCAGCATTTCGACAAATTGCGTCTTTGTTAGGCGACCAGTACCTTTTCCCATATGTTTTTTCCCAAAGCTAATTAGTTTTTTCTCCCAGAAAGTTTTCACTGGTCCAAAGACACATTTGTCTAGTGGTTGCATCATATCTGTAAGGTGGCTCGGCAGTTTTATAAGTGTAACATTATTTGACATGGCCTCTTCAATTATGCGAACACTGATATGGCTAGAATGTCCGTCATAAATAAGAACGCATGCTTGATCTGGAATGGACATAATTTCACGGATCTTTTTGATATAGGGTATAAAAAGTTCAGTGAACCACATATAGAACTGCGGTTCCTCCATCCATCCATTTTTGGAAGCTGCATAAACAGTTCCTGGAAATGCCTTCCCAGAGGTCCATCGGGCTTGAACTGCAGCTCCCTTGAACACAATCAAGGGAGGAAGAGCCGAACCGTCTGCTTCTACACATGCAAGAACTGTAGTTGATTCACGTCCCGATCCTCCAGAAACCCTCACCAAAGGTTTTCCCTTCTGCCCAATGGCCCTTAAGCGACTAGGGTCACTTTTGAAACCCGTTTCATCTGCATTAAATATAAAACAGCTCTTATCTTCTGTATGTAGCTGGAGACGAGCAAAAGTGTCTTCTAGTTCTTCATAAAATGCGTAAATAACACTTGGTCTTCTGGAATCTTTTCTACATTTTTGTAGGTGTTCTG